GGAATCAGATTGCAGCAAGAACATTAAAATAATGTTATATTTATCTAAATACTGATTTCCTTTCAATCACTTCAACCAGACTAAATTCTCTGATGACAGTGATAGTGCCTTAATTGTCTCTCTATCTCTTTTTCCAAATATAAAGACTGGAAGACAAAGGTTTGTATAATGGGTCAATGTATTAATAGAAAGAAAAATCAAAATAGAAGTGATATCAGAAACCATGTTATGATCATATGAACATGGGTAATTATAAGACTGCAATAATATAATAAATATATTACTGTCTGGTGGAAAGTAGAGAGTAAGTGAATATATAATTTTAAATTAAAAGTATGACTATGTTAATACCATTGTTAGTAGTATTTTTAGAGGGTAATTTCATCAAAGGAAAGAAAGACAATAGTCAGGCTAATCAATACTAGGTCAGACTCAGTGAATCCAAGATTGACTTCTCTACACCTACCTTACTGTACACTGAGAAAATTTTCAGACATACATTGTCTTATAACCGGTCATGGGTTTTGATATAATAATTTTAATTATAACTAGAAAAGGAATGGATGGAATAAATTGAAGAGATACAGTGTTTTTTTTTAAAATCCAGATATTCCCAAGAACCAGAGTCAGAATTCTCAAAACTATTAAGCTAAGTACCACAATAATGAACGTTCAAACTCAGAATATTCTCAAAAACCTTTCGGCAAATGCTTGTTTGTCAATTATATTGTACTCTGCACCAGGCATTCAATTTTAATTCTAGGAGTATACTGCTTTGAAATAAAAATCATGTTGAGAAAGCGATAAAGAAAGTGTTTAATTCTACTTAATATTAGCTCATACAGGATTTCTAAAAGGAGAGTAGAAAAATAATAAAAGTATTTTGACATTTATATATAGAACTTAGGTTATTTAATTTTGAATAAAACAGGTGGGAGTTAATTGAGGGCAAACATGAGCCTGAGTATACATAAAATTAAATTTTGAATAAATTATTACAAGAAAAAATTAACTGTGATTGACATGTGAAGATAAAATCAAATACCAAAAATTCACACCATATTCAGGAGCTAAGGATTAAAAAAAAAAAGTAGAAATTAGAAATATATGGATAACATAAGAGTAATTAACAATTTAATAAAATGACATTTTATAGAGTGCTTTAAAATTTGATTTTAGAGCAAAATGTTATGTGAAATATACATGAGACTCCTCAGGTAGTATAAATCATTTTTTACCTCAACATTAAGTAATTAAACTACAACTCAAATTATTACTTGAGACTATCTGAAAATTCACCTTGAAAGTAATATGTCTTTGATTTTGTAATGGTCATTTCCTTTGTTCTCTTATCTTCAAAGATTTTTTAGTTTTGAATAAAAACAGGTGCCTAACCTTTTCTTTCTTTGGTAATAGATTTGTATTGGTGTCTATTTTAAAAGTAAGGTACTCACTGATGAAATCTGGAACCACAATTCATCGTGTAAGGACTGAATGTGTTAGGAATTTTCTCTAGTGCTATTTTTTACAGAATGCTGTGATATGCTAGTTTGAAATGTGCTTTGACATGAAGATGTTTCAAAATTGCGTTGAATGAATGCTCAAGGAATCTCATATATATATAAATATTCGAAATAAGTAAATATAAATAACATATGTTTAGGAATAACTGATCATAGTGGATCTTTAAAGAAACAGTCTAGGCAATTTTATCCATACAGAGAAAACCTGAAAGTGTTACATTAGACGATTAAGATGCCAATATTATTATTTGGGGACTCTTTATTCAGAGAAATTTAGATAGTTTTTAAAATTCTACACATTCCTAAATTTTGTGCAGTTCTTACTTTATTCTCACCTTTTATTTTGTCCTTTATTATAATTGCAGGCTTCCCTTTGTTATGACCTTTTGAAAACTTAAAATGGAAGTTCAATTAGATATTCAATTACCAACCAAGACATTTATCCTTATTAACAAAAAGTCAGCTGAAATAATCTTGTCATTTGAATTCTCAAGAATTCTAAAACAAATACTTTTTAAAATTTTTCAGCAGTTTCAATTTGAGCTTGATTACCTCCAACAATACACACAGTAACATATTGGAGGGCACAACATTATGCAAAATGTAGCGACAAGTCATATCATGTGGATTTTATGTTTGCATGTGGAGTAGATAATTTTGCACACAGGATTTTCCACCAAATAAATCAATGAAGCTAACTTTCAAGACTGATAGTGCCAAACTTCCTAAATACTAATGAATGTTGAGTATAGTGAGCTGGAAACTAGATGCTCAATATTAATTATGTTAAAAATGGACCTGTGTACCACCAAATTAATAAAATCAGCAGTCTTGGTATATCTATCTTCTCATTGTCTATACAATAGCATTAAATTGAAGAACCTATGTAAAATCTTTAATTTGATATATTTATTTTAATAAAATATTTTAAAAATATATGAATGTTCTTTAAAATATAAAACAGTCAACTCTACTTTTTGCTCCCTTATTCCTCAATCAATCAATGTGTAAACACTATTTTTACTAATTCAAAAATATTTTATCAAAACATTTACTTCGTTTCTACCTACAAGGACATGACAGACTATGATTATATGAGTACTTGGAACAATTGGCATTTAATAGTATTCTTTTAGTAATAAGGTGCATAACCCCAATTTAAAATAGATTAATTAAAATATAAGTTGGAAGGATTGTAGGATATCAAGAAAAATCTGTTTCATTCTGTTGATTGTTTCCTTTGCTGTGCAGAAGCTTTTTAGTTTGATGTGGTCCCACTTGTCTAATTTTGCTTTTGGTGTCATAGCCAAGAAATCATTTCCAAGCCTAATGCCAAGAAACTTTCTCCAGATGATTTCTTCTAGGAGTTTTACAGTTTCTGATCTTACATTTAAATCTAATCCACTTTGAGATGTTTTTGTGTGTGTGTGTGTGTATAGGGAAAGAAAAAAGTCCGATTTCTTTTTCTTTTTTTGCATGTGATATCCAGTTTCCCCAACACACTTGTTGAAGAGACTGTCCTTTTTCTATATTGTATTCTTGACATCCTACGAGTCATCATTCGACCCCACAATTCCACTTCTGAGTATACATCCAGAAGAATTGAAATCAGGACCTAGAAGAGGTATATGCACTCCCATGTTCACTGCAGCATTATTTACAGTAGTTAAGCTATGAGAACAAATCTAAGTGGCCACCAACTGATGAATAAAGAAAACATTATCTATATGCATATATGTGTGTATATATTTATATATATATGAATCTTATTTAGCCTTTAAAAAAGAAGGAATCCTGCAATATATTATAACTTGGATAAACCTGGAGAACATCATGCTAAGTGAAATAAGCCAATCACAAAAGGACACAAACTGCATGGTTCCACTTATATGAAGTATCTAAAGTAGTCAAACTCAGAAACAGAATAAATGGTGTTGGCAGGGGTAGGGTGGAGGAAAGTGTTGCTATTCAAAGGACACAGAGTTTCAAATGTGCCAGATGAGTAAGTTCTAGAGATCCGCTATGCAACGCTGTACCTATAGTTAACAGTACTGTCCTGTGTATCCAAATTTTTGTTGAGGAGAGATTTCATATCAAGTGTTTTTACCACAATAATATTAAAAAAACCCCAGTGATTTATTATATGAAATATTATGGAGCAACTTAAAATAATGTAACAAACTTATATTTAATTACCTGAAAAGTATTTCTGAAATCTCATAAAGAAAAAAAATCTGTAACAAAATCTGTTTTTCAAATAAAAAAATAAAAGTAGAGTAGATGTTAGTGAGAAGTCATTGTCTTATGTATTCACTGTCAGTCCCTCAGTGTTCTCTTTGTTTCATAATCTGCTTCACTCAAAATAAATTTTCAATTGCCAGTCAGAATAATTAGTCTACAACATAAATGTCATTATAATGCATCCATGCTTGAAGTTATTTCTGCTTATAATTAATTTTAAACTTGGCTTGACACACCTACCCTCCCTTAAATTGCTCCATCTTCTACCATATCACACTATTGTGTAAGCCATATGAAACTACACTCTTGGAGGAATTTTCAACTCTCTCCCTGTGTTCTTTCTGAACACACTATGCTTTCAATATGAATCAGTTTTGTAAGACACTTTGCCCTTTGGCCACAATTTCACTTGGATAAAACCTTCCTGAAAAATATGATATGCATTGTTTCCCTAATATGTACTTTCAAATGCTACTTTTTATAATACATTTAAAACCCCAATTGTAATTGCATACTTAATTGTCTTTCTCTTCTGCCAGATTGTAAATTCCTTAATGAAGGTGGAGGAAAGCCCCTGTGATTCCTAAAAGAATGTTGCATAGAAACCCAATGGTATTACTCCCATCTGTGAAATGACACAATACAGAATCTGAGACAGTAATTTTAGCTAACCTTCCTGAAGAACTCAGATAGAGTCTAAATGAAAGAGAGTCTGAGAAAGTCTTGTTTAAAGCTTCCAGTCTCGAGCTGTACAGAGACAGTCTAGGTATAGAATAGTCAATGCAGGCCTGAGAGTCATTGAGTAAATAGGTGGTAGAGAAAGTAAGAATACAAAAACAGTTAAAATCAAGACAATAGACATAAAACATCTTGGAATTTTCAGTAAAGGGAAAACAGTCAAAATACATTGGTGGGGTAAAATAGTGTCATTTACCACAGCATTATGACAGC